ACAGATATTCTTGAACTTATTTTTTTAGTCCAAAACTTCCTTCAGTATATTCCATGTTAAAATATTTTGCTCCGGTCTGTATTAGTAAGTCAAACTTAAGTGTTTTTCTCTTTTATTTTTGATCTTTAGTTTCTTTTGGTTCTCACTAGTATCCAAACTCTCATCTCTTGTTTTAAGAGAATTGAAAACAAAAGCATTTTCCATGGATTCTTATAATTAATTCCAAAATCTTATTTCAGATTCATCTGGATCCTTGCTCTATTTGTATCATTCCAAAATGAAAGTTCTAATCAGCCTTTTGTTACTTATTCCAAAGTATTTTTTTAATCCTTAAGCACCTATTAAAAACTTATTCCTCTAAGAATCAAAAGAGACTTACCTGGTGCCCACCTGTTGATTCAAAAGTTCCTAATAGTTGAAAAGCAGTTAACAAGCAATTTCTAAGGGCAATTAGACAAGGAATTATGAAAACCCAGTGTCCTTTCTTAAGGCACTGACTATGGTTTGAGCAAAAGAAGAAGAAGATATTCCCTCATTTCCCAGATCTCTAAACTCACCAGAAGCTGTTGTCTTGCAGTCTTATTGTGAGTAGCAACCATATGGAACAGTTTTGGGCAATCCAAGTCATCTTATCAGGAGACGAATTACAAAGAGCCAGTTAACTTGCTGGCCCTTCATTCTGCTGTACTCATTTCTCTACTTTTTAATTATTCTTTCTTCTGTTTGCCATTTCTTGTCTGGAAAGCTGCTGTTAATTTTACATTAGTTGATTGGAAATAATCAAATCTACTTAGCTTAGTTTATGCATGAATATATGTTATTTGGTTTATTTGAGATTTGGCAACTAAAAGTGAATAAATAACAATCATAAACAAGGATTTTTAGTTTTTGTTGAACATAGCTTAATTCACACATTATGGACAGATTCACACACAGAAACCTTTCCTATCAACCACATTATAGCCTAATTAGGGCCATATGGAAAGCAATATGAAGCAGCAACTCATCCATAGATGATTGTTAGAGATACAAAAACAAACATAATAGCAGCTAAAAGTTTTTTTAAAAAAGCATATGGGAAAAACTTCTTTCACAGCACTCAATAATAAAGGAGCGTTAAGTAGAAATTCTAAACATTTTTCATTTGTTTATGCTAGTCTTTCTCAAGCTCATGCCCTCTTGATGTATTTGGGGCTACAAATTCCAGAACTGCTGGGAGCTGTTTTCTGGACACATCTGCTAGGCATCATGTTAGAGAAAGCTGGTTTATATTATCACTACTAGCCCAATCTCTGCATGTTTGGACTTAAGCTTGTACTTACTAAACTCAGTTTTTCTTAATTCCACATAAACAAATTTGGAAAGAATAAATCCAAATTAAATTGCTCTGATTTGCTGAATTCTTGATTACCTCTGATCCACCTAAACTTCTGACAGCTATTTAAATTTGAGAAAAGGGCATCAACAACTTTAGAATTTAGATCTCTTTATGTTACATACTTAGACAAGTTTTATGTATTTGTTTCCTATCCACATACTTTTTAAAAAATTCTTGGGATCTGTAGTTGTTTGTGATGTATTGAGATTTCTCTATAAATATCTATTTCCCACAAAGAAGTATAAGGACAAAGAATTGTTGAACTGTTTTAGAATCTACTGTGTTTCTCCGAAAATACAGCCTACCCTGAAAACAAGCCCTAGCCTGATTTTCATGCCTGGGCTGAATATAAGCCCTATCCCCAAAATAAGCCCTAGTTTAGCCTCGCCCACCATCTGATTGTACAAAGTGGGGCGAGGCACATGCGTAAAATCAAGTGGGGTTGCGGGGTGTAGCTTTCCCATCACCCCACACCCGCTTACCTTAGGACACCTGCAGCCAGGCCTCCTGTGCCCCGACACCTGTTGTGCTGCTGCCTGACTTCTTCTGCAGCCGGACACCACATGGCGTATCACACTGGTGCCAATTATAATATTACATTATAAACATTGTACTGTGCTAGGCTATACCAATACCTATACCTATACCTATACCTATACCTATACCTATACTATACTATACTATACTATACTATACTATACTATACTATACT